TACTGCGATTGCACTGCAGTTTAGTCCACCACTTGCTTCGCCACTTGACCACTTGCCTACTTGCCGACCTTCTAGAAGGACTACAGCTAGACTTCTGGAACTTGCTAAGACTTCTACTCTATAGACCTACAGATCGAACCCTTGCTGCTTACGGACCTACGACAGACCTACCAACTGTCTACGAATACACAGGTCACAGGTTCAACTCTCGAGGTCTACATAGATACTGTACATGGGTAGGGTGAGGTCTAGGGATCGAGCCCTGGGTACTGCATCTGCTACTGCTAAAAGGTGAGAACCGTTTCACTACCCACTTGTGTATGCTTGGAGTTGCACGTATTATCTGAGCACGTTTTATGAATTGACCATGATCTGCACTCACTGTTGGATGACCAGTGTGGAGAGAAAGTATGATCAGTGCAGATCCTACTTAATATTCTGCGAGGATCTGGGTCGTCGGCAGGCCTATGGGGCCCTGTTGCAGCATTGCCCGCCCTAAATGAAGGCGGAGGTGCCCGCCCTAAGTGAAGGCGGGCCTGATATATCGCAAGAGGCCCTCGACTGTCAATTTCATATATGGGGTCCAGGTAGTTGCGACGCGCCAGTTGGTTTAAAGAAACTCAGGCCGGGCAACACAGACATTTCCAGTTTTCCGGGCTTTTCCAAAGAATGCAGGCCCTGGGCGTGATTCGCAGCCTCATACAGAGACAGTTGGGCGCCCAAYCGAACGAGGCCCAGCAGCCCAGTAGCTGYTGTACCCAGGCAGCCTCCTGGGGCCTKYCSGAAGCTTCTGGGCCCAGGCCAGTGCAGCCAGGCTGYGCAAGCAGGCCGACTCTTTCCATAAAGGAAAGAGCTCTGCCCTGGCTGCCTCATTCGGTCACTTGCTGGCTGGCGGCAGCGCTGCTGGAGCAATTGCTCGGGGGCTGGCTGCCGGCGTTGGAGCAAGAGGCTGCGCACGTGCGGTCGTGTGAGGGAGCAGGGCGCTGCTGAGGGCAGCGCCATAGCCAGCCTCCATAGCGGGCTCGGCTTGGATACACAGTGAGGCGCAGGGGTGGTCTTCGGGTATGAGAGGACAGGTGTGGGTGTAAGTCAGGGAAGGGCGAAGGATGATGATGATGATGATGTGAGGACACTTACCTTGTATTGGCGATGGTCTGCATATGGGCGACATCTTCAAGTACTTCGGGTTGCCGCTGATGTCAACAGTTGCATTGTCTATTATTAGGCTGTAGTAGCTGTGTAGGAGTAGTCTGGGCGCTGAGCGCCAAGTAGGAGTGTGAAGGGACTGGACTCTTGTGTTGCTGAAGGAGAGAGAGAGCTCTCCATGACATTGGTTTTCAGTACTACGAACCTCCATTGGTGTATTATTGGCGCAATGCTACTCTCTGGACACAGTGTGACTATCTGGCTTTTAATGTGATGGTTTAATCTGGATTTGTCATCTCGCTGTTGCTTATTTTCCTTGCAATTTGGTATCGGAGCTGGTTCATAATGCGCTTCATTGGTTCTTCGCAACAGCTATTGGTGCTTCGGATGAGGTGTGGGGCAGTGATAAGGCATTGGCGTTGAACATTAGGCAGCCCAGGGTAGAGTGGGCGCGCCAGGGAGCTATGTGGTGACATACGAGGTGTATGCTGGATGATGAGAGCTCGCTGATGTGGCATATTAAGCCGAGGTGGAACCGCATTTTGCTGTTGGTTGTGCCGAGGCAAAGAACGGTCATCATAAGTGCACGTTAGGTTGCTGGTGAGAAATCTGTGGTTGGGGGCAGCATTTATGAGGTACGTTGCTCTCTTCCTTATCTACCCTCTTCATCTCTTCTTACCGTGAGGAAGTGAGTTCTGTCTTGAGAGTCCTCTCRATGTGAGGTGTCGCGAGCGCTCAACCTTGAGAGTCGACATTCTTCCCGGGCAGCAAGCTGGTGGGAGACGGGCGAAGCCTCTGAAGGGCCCTGGACGAAGCACTCGGGTCACGGTCACCATGCCAACCCGCTGGGACTAGTACACGCATGCTTTGCCGCAAGTCCTTGGTTCTGCTGCTTGCGCAATAGAGGTCATGCAGGGCATGCCAGCCCTTTTGGACATACGCTTTCCAGACTGTCTTTAAACATTTCTGGTTGGGGACTCGGATTTGAATCTGGCTGTGATCGTCGTCCTGTTTGCGACGTTAAATAATTCCTGAGGAGATGGGGGCTCTCCTTAAATCCCTCGTGATCAGCCAGATCAACCGGGTGTAAGGCTCGTTGCATGCGAGGATAAATAAAGTGCAGGGGCTGGCAGGTTCGGCGTTTGACTTGGGGCACAGGGGTGGGCCGGATTACACACCTTCAGACACGCTGCTCAACCAGATGGTCAGGGCGTCGACACAAAGTGACCACTCAAGAAGGATACAGGGGGAGGGGGAATTCCAGTAACTGTTCGCAGTGGCAATCAACAGACAATCTGCCCTCAAGCATACATCTCCAACAGGAGATGTTATTTTTATTTTTGATTATCTAGTTGTTACAGACTTGACTAACAACTGACAGACAACTACAGACAGATTAGATCTTTGCTGTATTGCAATCTGTTCTAGGGTAATCTAAAAATAGATTTAATATATCCTGTAGGACCTGGCATTAGTTGTTACTATATCACCTAACTGTTTTTGTTCCAGCCGACCGAAATTAGTTGTGATTCATAATCGGTTGTGTGTCAGAGGCTAAGGTAGGATTCTGTGTGGATTCTAGTTTAGATCACACATACTGTAGCTCATGAGTGATGCAAGCACTAGTGAGGAGGAGTTGCTAGTGGACGACCGTAGGACTACTCGCGGGACTGCCCGTAGTCGACCCTTGACATTCTTGGAGTTAGGTCCAGGAGACGAGAGAAGATTGTAGAGAGAGGCTAGAGAGAGAGCAGCGGCAAGAAGAGCAAGGGCAGCTTAGGATAGTGCCATGACTACTTCATCTACTATGTCGCAAACCTCTTCACAGTCCACTTCGTCAGGAGTCAGTCAGAGT